GGGGCGGGCCGGCCTCGCGCACCCGTTGTCACGGCGACGGCGGACGCCGGGGGCGGGGGCGGGGACTTCCCGCGAGCCGCGCAGCCCCGCCCCCTCCGCGCGGACGCGGCCCGGGAGACCTAGTGCGCAGGCGCGGATGCTGACTCCGCGTCCCCGCCCTGCCGGGCCGCGGGGGCGCGCCCGGGAGGAGGAAGGGGCGGGGAGCCGAGGAAGGGCGCACGCACGGCAGCCGGCGGGAACTGGCCTGTCCCGGCAGCCGGGCGGGAGGCTCTGCGGGCGGCCGCCCAGGTGGGGGGCTCCCAGGCAGCCAGGGCCTCGGACCGCAGCCGTTCCCCGCCCAGGCCCCGGGAGCAGCTTCCAAACCCTGGCCACACTTTCTGTCCATCCCCGCGTCACCCAGGGACTTCATGCGGTCGGGGCTTTTCTGTCTGACCGACGACTCGGTACGCTCCCCGGGGGGGGGGGCTCCAACTCGGTATTCTCCTGAGTCGGCCTCCCAGAGGGGCGATTTCTCCATCGGCACCAGTATTCATTCACTGTTAGGCCTTTCCAAACGGACAGTGAGTTCTTTAATAAAAGGCGACTTTTTGCCGCTGCAAAAATCTCCTCCTGCTTTGTATAATTTGTGAGTGTGGGTGTTTAGATAACTCTTGGAGAGGGAGCAACTATTTTTAGACGCTGGTCTTTTAAAGATGATTGAAAATGAGATGCAAAAGGCTTAGGTTCTGAAAGTGTGTCAGATGGATCCACTGGTTTGTTTTGTTTTGTTTTGTTTGTATTAAATTCTTTTATTGGTACATTGTAGGTATACAACAACAATTACATTTCTCACTGGGAATTGTACCGTTACATAATGCATCTTGGTTCTTATTTTTTCCCCATTCCTAGCCCTCCCTTTACGCCCTCCACCCTTCCCTATTTACAAAGACTTTATTTCCGTTTTTTCCATTTGTCATCCTTTTTTCCTTTCCCTTCTTTCCTTTCCCCTGCCCCTCCCACTACCCCTACCCCTTTGGACCTTTTCTTCCTATTTTGCATTATTGATTA